AACTGTTGAATTAGTGTATTTTTCTGTGTATATTCTTAACAAAATAATAAAATTTAGTGGCCAGGGAATGCTTTTCATTCCCAAATAGGATACAAGGAAGTTTAAAACCCCAAGTCTATTTCTAGGAATAGGTCTATTTTTCATATTAGCAAAAATGGGTAGGTTCACTTTTAGGAATTTATCCTAGGGAAGCAATATAAGATTAGCAGCCAGTGATGTATATAAATTTTTATCATACCTTTGCTTGACAATTTAAAAACTTTTAAAACAATCTAAATATCTATCAGTAGGATATTGGTTAAAAAAATTGTGGTTTCACGCCCTGTATTATTATATAGCTGTTAAAGTAGTGAAGTAGATCTGTGCTAATTGACAAAAAAGAATTTTTATTTATGATGTGAAAAAGATCAGCATGTATTTCATCAGCCAGCTTTTGCCATTATACCTAAGGTGTCTTTCAGTGCCAAGATGAATAGAACAAAAGGGGGAAAGGGGGGAAAAGTGAACATTTGAAAGGTGGTGTTCCTTTTTGCTTGTAGTTAGCTCTAATTTTCCTATAATGCATCTGACTTACATGTTTAATATAAGAACATAATACTAAAGGGTAAACAAACAGAAATGGGTGTTTTCATTGCACATTGTTTTTGCTCCGGATGATCTTCATTCATTTTCACCTTCCCTGAGCTAAGAACTTTCCCCCCTTATCATACCAGTGGTAAGGGAGACTCTCATTCACTTTGAGGGGAAGAGTAAGCACATTAATAACATCAAGTGGATGTTACTAACCTTCTGACCAATTGCTATCTGTTCTGGGGCCCAAGTTCTCCTATTCAGGAAGAACCTCAGTCTCGAATCCCATTCAGAGATCCCTTCCTTTTATGTCCTGCATTCCCGAAACACACTCACACTCTGCCTTTCACATTTTCCCTCTGAAAGACTGAGACGGGGACGTACTTTGTAACAGGTACAGACTTTGTATCCCGTAGTGCTGCCATGGCTTTTTCTTTCTCCATATGCACAGGACTTCCAGTTCCTCAACCGGATATGATTTTTCAGTTGAAGAGTGAGGAAGAGGCATGGATAGTTGATCTTCACGAACCTGAGGACAGAGAATGTCCAGAGAATGTTTCCTTAGGTAATTTGAGTATAAATAGGGCAGGACAGAACTCTGTTTTTTGGGGGGTTGTTACTTGGGTGTGTCTCTAGAAATATTGGGTGTCCTCTTTCTCAAATTTAAATTTGCTCCAGTGGTTGTTTGCATCACTCACCAGCTCTCATTTATTCTCTGCATAGTAAAACATGACTTGTCTATGTGTTCTAAGCGTTTCTTTTCTCAAATCCATCATGTTATCCATTCATACAGTGATATTTCTGTTTATCACCAGCCTTTCCATTTAGCATACTCCTAATTCCTCCCTCCCCCCAATTCCAGTGGGTATTTTCCCATTTTTCCGAGATGTCCACCATCAGATCTATTACTTATAATGTAGGACCTTCGTGAGGGCTAACAGTCCAGTGCCCATACCTTACTTTCAGGCTTATCATAGTATCTTTTTTTCCATTGTAATATCTCTGCACACACACACACACACACACTTTAAAAAATTTTTTTACCTGGGAAAGAAACTTCATCTATATTTTCTGTTTGTTCCAGACTGGGTACCTAAGCTTGAGATTCAGGATGCTTCAGAAGAAGAACAAGTATCGGAAGGAACCTTCAGGGAAGCGCTTGAAAATGAAGGTCTTTTGTGCCCTAAAATTGAAGTTTATATACCAGAGAATAGTTTGGAAACAGAGAAAGAAAACCCTGCAGTAGAGACTTTTCCCTTTTCCCAAGAAAAAAGCTTGCAGCAAGGGTCAACCCCTCCCCAAACAATTATTTTTAAAGAAAGAGACCAAGTGTGCAGAAACTGTGGGAAGACATTTTTTGACCACTCATCCCTTATCCGCCACCTGAGGACGCACACCGGAGAGAAGCCCTATAGATGTCACGAGTGTGGAAAAGTGTTCAGTCATAGAAGCAGTCTCAGTAGACATCGGATGTCTCATACTGGGGAGAGCCCTTATGAATGCAATGTGTGTGGGAAAGCTTTCTTTGACCGTTCAGCCTTAACTGTACATCACCGAATTCATACTGGAGAGAAGCCCTTTATATGCGGTGAGTGTGGAAAAGCCTTTTTTGATCGTTCATCCCTTACAAGACACCAGAGAATTCATACTGGAGAAAGTCCTTTTGAATGTAACCAATGTGGGAAAGCTTTCAGCCAGAAAAGTATCCTTACTCGACATAAGCTAATCCATACTGGTAGGAAGCCTTATGAATGTAATGAGTGTGGGAAAGCCTTCTATGGTGTCTCATCACTGAATAGACATCAAAAAGCTCATACTGGAGAGCCTCGTTATCATTGTACTGAGTGTGGGAAAGCTTTTTTTGACCGCTCACCCCTTACCCAGCATCAGAAAATACATACTGGAGACAAGCCATATGAATGCAGTGAATGTGGGAAAGCCTTTAGCCAGCGATGTCGGCTTACTCGACATCTGAGAGTTCATACAGGAGAGAAGCCCTTTGAATGTGGTGTTTGTGGGAAAGTTTTCAGTTCTAAATCTTCAGTTATTCAACATCAACGACGTTATGCCAAACAGGGAATAGACTGAATCACGTGAAAGCTTTAGTCAGAAGAACCACCGTGAAACTTAAGCTAGGTCTTTCCCATCTTGAATCCGTCATGTGATCATTCCACCAGTCTGGCTAGTCCTGTATTTTTGTTGTTGTTGTTGCATATAATACAACGCACATAAGTAATGCAAATAATGCACATAGGAAGCTAATGTGTGAGGGGCTTGTGCTGTTTGCAAAACTAATGAGCATATAATATGTGTCATTTGCATTAAAAGTAGTATTCTCCTTCCTGATCTGCCACCATAATGTTTGAATCATCACTCTACATCAGCTATGTTAATGTGGGATGCCTGAAATAAGGATATAACTCTAGCAATCCAAAATTTTGGAGAAGCTTGTCAGATGATCTGATAAATCAGTTCTCAACTTGTGAGTCGCAACCCCTTTGAAGGTTGAAGGACCCTTTCACAGGGGTCGCCTAAGACCAGGAGAAAACACATATTTCCGTTGATCTTAGGAACTGAGACATTGCTCCTCTATCCGTCTCCAGGCTGGTCCACCCACGTGCACATACGCCCACATACAAGTACCCAGCATGATGTCATCGCACTGACCCCATCACATACACCCCGTACAAGTACAGGTGTATGCGACAGGGTTGGCGCCATAATGTACTTATGCAGACCAGTCACATGTAGAAAGCAGTTGCTGTGTTGAAATCAGCGACTCTTAAAATACAGCTACTGTGTTGAAAGCACCAGTATTGGAGGTAAAATGACACTTCGTGAATTATAATTACTGGCTAAATGTAAAATCATGTACTGTAAAATAAATATCTGTACCATGGGAACTTATTCTGGATGCTGATCAGTCTTTTTATATTCAGCTGTGGTTGATGTGAATACTGCCCCCTTGTGATAGTAACAGGTATGTAAAAAAAACACAGGAATGGTAAATCATAGGAAACTTTAATGAACCCTATTGACTGAACTATACCATGTATCATCTTTTTTATTATTAAAGCTATTGTTACATATTATTTTCATTAGCAAACCATCCTATGACAATGAATTGTGTAGAGAAGAATGTTAAGAAAAGAAATTATAGTGAGGGTTTTTTTACAGTATGGTTTTACCTCAATAATTACAGCAGGAATTGAGAAGCCACAATGTGGTATTTTGTTGTGAAGTTCTATCAGCCGAATCGATGAAGCCAAACAAGCTAAAATGCCATTTTGATAGCAAGCATCTGAGCTTTGCCAGCAAGGATACCAACTATTTTAGAAGCAAAGGTGATGGACTCAAGAAAGCCAGACTTGACACTGGTGGCAAGTACCACAAACAGGATGTAGCAGCCATTGAAGCTTCATATTTGGTGGCACTCAGAATCGCCAGAGCTATGAAACCTCACACCATTGCTAAAGATTTACTGTTGCCAGCAGCCAAAGGCATTGAGTTATGATCGGAGATGAATTTGTTACGAAATTGAGTGCAGTTTCCTTATCTAACGACACTGTCTGCAGAAGAACAGATGACATGTCTGCTGATATTCTTGATCAGGTAATCCAGGAAATTAAATCTGTTCCACTTCCAATATTCAGCATCCAGCTTGATGAATCTACAGATGTTGCAAATTGTTCACAGTTACTGGTTTACATGAAGTATATTAATGATAGCAACTTTAAAGATGAGTTTCTTTTTTGAAAACCTCTTGAAATGTCAACTACTGCATGTGATGTATTTGACAGAGTTGGTTCAGTTCTGAAAGAGCACAAGATCTCTTGGGAAGAGGTTTGTAGTGTTTGCACAGATGGTGCTCCAGCTCTGCTAGGATGTCGATCTGGATTTCAACGTTTGGTACTGACTGAGTCACCAAAAGACATCAGAACTCACTGTATGAATCCTCGGCAAATATTAGCAATGAAGATGCTGCCACAGGAGTTACAAGAATCAATGAAAAGCGTTATAAGTTCTGTCAATTTTGTAAACAGTTGACTTTTCACAACTGTGCAATGAGTTGGATGCGCCAAATAATGCTGTTATTTTACACTGAAGTGAGATGGTTGTCGTGCGGAAAAGTTTTAAGACGTGTTTTTGAACTTCATAATGAACTCAAAACATTTTTTAATCAGAAAGCAAGACCGCAGTCCGAAGCATTTTTCAGCAATAAAAGTGAAGTTAAATTTATCACTGCTAAGGACCAAATGCAAGATGCCTTGATTTGTCTGAAAAGATCCGGTCATTCTAAATGAAGCTTCAGCTTTATCCAAAAAGTTGGATGAAAATAAAATTTACGTATTGCCTACCTTCTCTGCTTTCTTTGAGGAACTTGACATTGAATCAGACAAAAGGATTGTGATGATAATTTCTGTAAAAGAACACTTGCACATGCTTGCAGATGAAATTTCATCGTACTTTCCAAATCTACCTGACACCCCATTTGCACTTGCCAGAAGCCCGTTCCCAGTCAAAGTTGTAGATGTTCCTGAGACAGCACAAGAACTTATTAAGAGCAATGTAGTGAAAACTGATTTCTCTACAATGCCAGTTACAAAATTCTGGATCAAGTGTTTGCAGTCATATCCTGTTGTGTCTGAAACTGTGCTGCACCTTCTTCCATTTCCAACAACATATCTTTGTGAAACAGGGTTTTCCAGCTTGTTGGTTATCAAGTCTAAACATAGAAGTAGACTTGTGGAAGATGATCTTCGTTGTGCTCTTGCAAAGACTGCCCCGAGAATTTCTGATGTGGTGAGAAAGAAGCTATCTCAACCTTTGCACTGATGTTGGCTTTTTATACATACTGTCGCAAAATGTAGCAATGTAGTTTACTGTTGTTATATTAAGACTTACCCATGCTACACCATACTTCAAGACAAAATCATTTATTTGTAATTAGAAATAAATATTTCACAATATATAATTACATATTGTTTTTGTGATTAATCACTATGCTTTAATTATGTTGAATTTGTAACAATGAAAATACATCCTTGCATATCAGAATTTGCATTACGATTCATAACAGTAGCAAAGTTACAGTTAGGAAGTAGCAATGAAAATAATTTGGTGGTTGGGGGTCACCACAACATGAGGAACTCTATTAAAGGGTTGAGACATTAGGAAGGTTGAGAACCACTGCGATAAATGTTAGGAGGAGATACTCAAGATGGTTCTTGTCAAACATGAGAATTTCAATGCCAGGAATGTTACACCTTTTTCAGGAGGGAAAGGCAAGATGAAATCCGAGCAGTACTGTTGCTTCCAGTGCGGTTCTGTTTCTAGTTGGTAATCCCTCTCAGGACACTCACTTTGTTCTTTTGTGTGCCTCATTTTAGATCTCTTAATAGTAATAATGGTACTATTGAATGCCTGTCACAGGGTAAACACTCAACTGTAAAGTTCTTAAGAGTGTAGTTTCTTTGTGGTCTTCTCAACAACCTTCCTAAGGAGTTACTGTTAACTATCTTCAGGAGTTCCTAGGTGATGCAAACAGTTAAGTGCTTAACTGCTAACCAGATGATTGGCAACTCAAACCCACCTAGATCTGCTCTCAGACTCTGTGGTGACCAATTCTACTTTGTAATGCTCAAGTTCTCCAAGAATTGGAGTCGACTTGATGGTAACTGGTTTGGGTTCATTTGTTTATATTATTATTTTACAGATGAGAAATGTGACGTTTAGAGAGGTTAACTAATATACCCAAAGTGACAAAGGTAGGAAAATGTGAAGCCAGGTCTTGAATGCAAGTCTGTCTGCAAAGTTCATTCTCTTTCAGGTAGGCTGGTTTTATAGTTTGTGTACAAGTATTATCTTCTCAACTAGATTGTAAGCACTCGGATGTATGACTTAATATGTCTGTATCTCACATAGTGCCTTACGTGTAATAAGTAAATCAAGCCCACTGCCATCAAGTCAATTCTACTCATAGCGACCCTGAGAACAGATTAAAACTACTTTAGCATTTCTGAGACTTTAAATCTTTATAGGAACAAACAGCCCACTTTTCTCCCATGGGGTGGCTTGTGGATTTGAACTACCAACTTTGTGATTAGCAGCCCATTGCTTAACCTACTATACCAGAGGGTCTCCTGTTTATGATAGGTGCTCCATACAGATCTAGTCACTTTTCTGTTTCCTAGACTCTATTCAAAACACCTCTTGGAGTCACGTCCTTTCTCTGAATTTCCGTAGTTTAGCTTATACCTTTATCATTCCAGGCTCACATTACTCTAGTAGTAGTAGTCACTTCCTAATTTGAGTTCTTCCTACTTAATTATTAAAAAGAGATATGCTATGGACAATAATCACAATTTATTTCTCATATAAAGTCTACTTGAGTCAGTTTGGCTTTATCCTCATCCATCCATAGAATATGTGGCCTCCAACCAAGGGCATGGATGAATTTGTGAGATATTGTTAAGGGCTAGGCTTTCGCCATTTTTTGGTGTTATAGGCAAGACTCAGCAGCCAAGTGGTAGTAAGTAATGAAGAACCTAAATATTTGGTGAACTCCAGTAGCTTCTATCTTGGTTACATTTTGCGTATTACTGTTTCGGCAATTGTTCCAGGTGACCTCTTCTGTCCAGCATTGTTTCCTTTACTCGACCTAAAATAAACTCCCAGTTGGATGAAAACCTGAATATTTCAAGTCTGCCCTTGCATCATCATATATTCCTAAAATTTACCTCCTGATGCCCGGAACTTATTCTGTGTATCCAGTCCCATGTTTTTATTTTATGAAAGGTCAGGCATTGGAAGATCTTGAGTCTAGGTACATATATCTCCACAAAGCCCTGAAGAGGATTCTTCAAGGCTGTTGAGAATCTAATTTACCCTGCATGAATCCCAGTGGCCCAGGATGCATTTCTCCTGGGAGTTAAACGTGAGTCCAGAAGCTGTGTTGGCAGAAAGGTACCTCTCTACCTATAACCACCCTGTTCTACCTCTCAAGAGCATATGAGTATTAGGGAGAGTACTTTCCGCATGTGGATTTTTAAATGAAAAACAGCGGAGTAGTGGGCAATGTTGGATATTTTTAAAAAGTAGAATATGAAAGGGATTCTTGATAAGTGTTTGGCTGGTGAATGTCTCAGAGTTGTGACTACTGCTATAATAAGCAGAGTCCAGCATTTTTCCTAATCTGCTACTGTCAGCAAGGTAAGTGCCAGGAGGAACCAGCTCCTAGCACAATCACTATGGGTTCGGTAGGCTCAATTGTACAGCGATAATAAGTAAATATTATAGTAAAGTTATAGAGAGCATGAGAGAGAGAAGAGATATATAGAAATAAATGGAGTCAGACACGTTACATGGTAGTATTGCTCACCTCAGCCCCGCTTGGTAATTCACGTGGAGAGAGAGAGAGAAACTTTAATGCTTCCCAAGCTTTTATCCTCTCTGGGGATGTGCAAGCCCCCTAATTACAGGTGAAGACATACGTCACAGGAAAGGGTGTGCTATAGGTATTGCAGTGATGGAAGG